TCACACACAACGCATTATTGGAATTAGTATGTGATTAGGATTATTGGATTTAGTTTGTGGTTGATTTTAGAGTAATTGGAGTTAAAATAATTGGGATTATTGGATTTAAGAGGATGGGAATTAGAACATATCATTTCTCTTGCCCATACACTCATCTTGGACTTTGTTCAATTTCAATTTTGTGAACGTCGTTTGGTTAGGTTGAATTTGAATTTGATTTGATTAGGTTCAACGTGGATTTGTGAATTCGGTTTGATTTTCTTATTTTATATTATGGATTTTTTCTAACTTTAGATTTGATTCGAATTGGACATTTAATTGCATTTTTTTGACACTAATGGTCTTGCCTGCTTTGATTTTATAATTCTAGAAATTTATTCATTTCAATTTTATTCATTTTGTTTCAATCTCACTATCGACTATATTTTCTATTTAAGGGGGATGTTAAATCTTGCTTCACATTGACATAATAACACATCTCAATGTAACTTTTCAGAAAAAAAAAAACACATCTCAAACTAATATATGTTTCTGATGAATCTCTCCCATCATAGCCCAACGATTTTGGATTGGATGCCCTTAAACAAGGTATCAAAGTGATGTAGTTCGTGTGACGAGAATTTTGGCATTCAATACAAACAAAGTTGACGAAATGCCATTTTAATATTGTATGAACCATTTGTTGAAATGCTACATAGAAATGTTGTATGCTATTTCTCTCCTACATCATACCAATTCGATAAGAGCTCGATTATTTGATCGTAAGTCTTTCTCTACACTCTTTCATATATTTTTCTAGATAAATTGATTATCTCTTACAGTCTCTCTAAATTTTTACCTATATTATCAATATAAATCTTCCCTCCCCCTCCCCCACTACATACAAATGTGTGTGCTCATTAATTTTTTAGATAATTCAGTGTAATGAAATTGATGGCAAAAATTATGTTGAATCCAATTAACAATAAAAATAAAGGGTCTTATGTTTCGGATTTACAATTATTTTATTTTGCCTCACATATTTCGATAATTTTTATGTTTCAAATTTTTTCAGGTATACATGGAATGATGTGAAGATGAAATTGAAGATGTTTCTCTATTTGTGCATGTGTGTATTTTTTGTGTTCCGTCTTTTGTACAATTAACTAATTACACATAGTTATGATAATTTTGGGTAAGAAATGGTGGTTGTTGTGGTGGTTGGGTATGTATTGATAATTGTGGTGATATGGTGTATTATGATAATTGTGGTAATATGGTAGTTGGGTATGAATGGAATGATGGTTGTAAGTTTTGTAGCCAGATTCAAAATTTTTGGGCTTTTATTTTTAGAGAAAATTCTGTCGAAATTTGTTAAATTAGTAGGGATTAGCTGGATGTTTTGGTGGTTGGATATGTGTTGATGATTGTGTATGTATTTATTATTGTGGTGGTATGGTGAATTATAATGATTGTTATGTATAATTGTAAGTTCGGTATACAGATTTAAATTTTTATACGTTCCTATTTTTAGAGAAAATTTTGCCGAAATTTCTGGATAATAGTATGGACTACCTTGATTTCAAATTGACAAGTTGTTTTAGGTTGTTAATAGTATTTAGGTAATGGTAATGTAGTATTTTTTATTTTTAATTTAATTTTTTGTTACACGGCACGGGCAATTACTAATTTTTTTATAATTTCAATCAAGTGTGAGTCACCCTTAATGTGTATGATTGTAGGATCCACTTATAAATGACAGGACCTAAAAAAATTAGGAAATTTTGAAGGCTGGTTTTCCTATATGGACTTAAATCCGTTAAAGAAACTTATTTGTTATAAAGTTCATTTTTTTGTCAAATTTACCATACTATTTCTTCCCTTTAGAAGTGAAATAAAACTAAAAATTAAAAACTCATAAATTTAGGAATTTGACTAACATTAAAATCTTTTTTCTCTGATATCTGTCTATATCCATATATAGGTTAAGAGATTGGTTAACATTAAAATATAAAAAAATAGTAACATTTAAATATAAAAAAAATAAAATATTCAATATTAATATTTTTAAAAATAATAACAGTAATATGTTCAACAAAAATAATAACATACTTAACAAAAACTGTAACATATTTAATAATAATTATTTCTCTCAAATTTAAACGTAAAAAATAGTATCATTCAAGTACAAAAAATAGTAACATTGAATATTAATATTTAGGAAAATAATAGTAGTAATATGATCAACAAAAACAATAATATGCTCAAAAATAATAGTAACATGAATTTGAATTTTACTATTCAAATTCATAGTAACTTTTTTTTATATTTGAATGCTACTATTTTTAATTTTTAATGTCTCTCTCTCTCTCTCTCTCTCTATATATATATATATATATATATATACTTAACCTATATATAGATATAGATAAATAAGAGAATTTTTTTTTTTAATGTTAGTTAACCTATATATGGATATAGATAGATATGAGAGATAAAAGATTAACTTCCTTTCAAGGAAATGTATTTTTGAAATTAAAAAAAAATGGACTTAAGTCATTATAAATATTTTTAAACATGAACTTAACCCCTTATAAGTTTTCTTGCAGGACTTATCTCCAAATAAATATATCTAGGGGGACTCATTTCCAATTTTCACAATAAATTATTGTGCATGATCAACCTTTTGGTTGAAAGAAAAATAAATATTAAAAACAAAAAAAAATTAAAAAAAAAAACAAAATTGTTTAATGGCTATATTAATAAGGGTGAATTTCATTTTATACCCTAGAATATTTCAAGTTTTTTTTTTTATATCTTCAAATATTAAATTATTTTTGTTAAATTTTTTTATCGGTATTAGTGAGTTAGCTTTTTACGAAAAATTAACAAAAGCTAACAGAAAGTCACATTGCAAAATTTTTGATATATTGATATCGTAATGTAAATAATTTAATTTTTGAGGGTTAAAAATAAAAAACTTTAAAACAAATTAGGGTGCAAAATGCAAAAAACCCCTATTAATAACGACAAATAAAAGCATTTGAAGAGATTCTCCAAATAAAGAAATGTTCTACATCTATATGTACAGAGTTTCGGAGCTAAGAGTTCAGACCCACCATCTTTTCTCATGCCACAACATCTGGGGTACTCTCTCTCTCTCTCTCTCTCTCTCTCTCACACACACACACACACACACACACACACAATTGTGGATATGCAAATTGATTCTAGAATGATTATCTGTTATTTAAGAAGCAATGCTTGCATTCATGTATATAAGGACAATTGCAATCTCAAATTCATATTGGTGGTGATAGATTTGTATAGATTGAATAAAGCAATTCCAATTTAATGATTATATACTTCTATCATCGAATTTCATCTTGCTTGGTTTTTCGCTTACGTATAAACTACCAGTGTCCTTTACAGTTTACAATAAGTAATTTGTTTCTCCTTTTCAAGTGTTTTTCTTAGATTTCTACCAGTTGATCTAAAATTCAGCGACTGATTTAGGAAGAATTCTTGGGCATGCAACAGATCATGATGACATTTTTTGTTTATTTTTCTTGAAAGATCAAAGAGATCATGATGATGACTTGAGATTTAACTATAGCATATTTTTTTCAGCAGGTTAAAAAATTTGGACCACTTCTCAATTTGTGCTATGCTAATCTTCTTTGTATCATTCCAATTTTATCGGATGTTCCCAAAGGGACAACTATTGCATGTTTTAATTATCAGACTGGCTAGAATCTTGGATCTGATATCTTGTTTCATTTGAAAAACAAGTAGAGGACTGCAAAGGGTTTGCCATGAATACTGTTTATGACAAGCAGAGGATTTTTTGTTTCCTCCCTTTGTTTAAGACAATAATTTTTGTTTTAGGAAGTGAAGAGGGTAATCAAGTTCCTGGAAATTTTTGAAATTTGCTATCTTTACAAAACCTAGGTGAGTTTACCAATCAAGCTAGCTGGTACCTTCACAACAAATAGGAGAAGTCTAGGAGCTTCAATGAAAATTAAAAAACCAGTCAGATGAGAAAAACTGAGAATCATTTTGAACTCAGGTTAAAGTAAAGGGATTTGAGATGGGAGCTTCTATGTCTTTATTTTAAGGTTTGTAGTTGAGTCCATGGCGTTCTAGTCAAACTAGTTGTAAAATCCTGTGAAGATAATCAATAGACTAGTAAAGGGTCGAAGTGTTGTGATAATTGTAGCCTAAATGGATATTTCTATGATCAGTTCATTCTACTTGGGGATGATAAACTTTTGAGCATTTACACATGCATAGTTTGGAATGATAGCATAGAAAAGATTATTGTTGAGATCGTTAACATGTTTGAAGAAAACTGGTCATGGCTTTGAGATGGATTATTGATTCTGTGGAGTTGAATGCACTAAAGAATGTGAGGAGAGCAAACTAAGACGCGTGATAGGACTATGTACTCAAGTAAGAATAAAAACCAAAGAAAACTATGCTTGGTTTTGGTGGAAATATTTTGTTTAGGCAAGTTGAATGGATTAAGAGCGAAAAATTAGAACTTTGTCACAGTTGACTAATCTCTCCCAACGTCACTCGTTCAGGGATGAAAAAGTTGTAGTGCAGTTATACCAGTGGATCTTCAAAGCATGACCAAAAGAAATTCTTGGAAAGGATTTTATCCTTATTAGTAACACTTGAAGCATAAAGCACTTGGATGAAAAAACCTATCCAAAACACTCATTATTGAAAATCATCCTACAAACATTCAGGTCATCTCCTGATTCATGTACAGGTTTATATCACAAGTGAAGGGTACAGTTGAGTAGAAATAATGAATGACCTACAGAAATACTGGGAGTAATGTCAAAAAATGGAGCGTGCAAGTCCATGAGCTCTATTAAAAAAATATGTGACATCTCTTTCATCTCTTTCTGTACACTGTCAGAATTCTTGCCAAAGTAGTTTGAGAGCAATGGAAGACAAAACAAAGAAAGTATCAACTTCTTCCAAAGGATTATTGCAGAGTGAAGAATTATATGAGGTACTCTTGCATCCTGTTTTATTCCTCTGGTTTGCCTTTTTCAGAAACTAAGCTGATGCTTTGTCAATGAGGCAGTATCTCCTGGAGACCAGTGTTTACCCTCGTGAACCCAAGCCCTGAAGGAGTTAAGGGCTGTTACTGCTACCACCCAAGGTATTGCTGTTTTATATAAACTTTTTTTGCTTTTCTGGTGTTTTATACAATTTTTGCTCCATTGAATAGGGTAATCAATATCTTGTTTAAAAAAAAGAAAAAGAATAGGGTAATCAATATCACCAAATTTAGAAAGAACTATGTATTTTTCTAATACACATCATAGGAAATTGTTAAGAAAAATAATGAGTTGTGACAAATATTGGTTCAGAATGTTGTATGAACATATCCGTGTGAAGAAAATAGAAGGATTTGTTCAATTCTCTAAAATGGCTGCTAGACTGAGTTCAAACTTGTTGGGAATCAAAACTGAATAATTCAACTCCATGCGGTGTGTTGAAATTACAGCTGACTTAACAGATTCTGCACCGCTAGATAGTATAATAGGTGGCTCATGCAGCTCCTGAATTAATAGCATTTTTATTCATAATGAGTTTGCTATTTGCAGCCATGTAGATAATGAGTTTGTTATTTTTCCAGAGCAATGATGGGTACTTCTCCTGATTCTGGTCAACTAATGGCCATGCTCTTGACTCTTGTAAATGCAAAAGGACAATTGAAATTGGAGTTTTCACTGGCTACTCACTGCTTTCTCACTGCTCTTACAATCCGGATGATGGCAAGGTTTTCACTGCTACCCATCGCCAGTCTGTCTAATGAATCTATTTCATGATACATTTGTGATTAAAGATACATTATTGCAGATTACAGCCATAGATTTGAATCGGGATACATATGAGATAGGGTTGCCAATTATTAAAAAAGCTGGGGTGGAGCACAAAATCAACTTCATCCAGTCTGAGGCTCTACCAGTTCTTGATAAACTGTTGGAGACTGTAAGGATTAACCATCTTAGATTGTGTGTTCTCGATCGTGGTTGATGCAATTTGAACTCGTTTCCTTGCTTTCTATCATTAGGCATATCATTTTTGGTTCATTCTATCGTGGGCTGTTTGTTGCAGAGTGACAGTGAAGGAAGTTTTGACTTTGCTTTTGTTGATGCGGACAAAATCAA